TTACTGACCAGAGGGTCAGCAGCTGGATGAAATGCCTTCCTACTCACCTGCTGTATGAAATCGGAACTTGAAGATCAATTTGAGTCATCACGGTTGCTCGCATAATGCATGGGACTCTAACTGTTGTTGTTGTTGGGGGCGGGGGGCGGTGACTGGACTTTCCTCTTGGGCCCTCTGCTCTGGAAATAATCCTATGTGAGTGGTTTACTCTTACCCAAGCTAGGGCTCATACCAATTTAACTGTAGAATTTGAGACCAGCCATGTAGGTCTCTGGGTTGGGTGCCTTATAAATTTCCCCTTTCCTTCCATAAGTGGATCCATTCCGATAGCAGCCATCATTGCACCTCGTACAGATTGATCTAGCTTTCCCTGTGATGTCCCTCTGAACACGCCATTGGATTTGCCTTAGCGTATCATGGTCTTTCGAGCTGCACTATACGGAGTGGAAAGAACGTTTCTTCTCCCCATTATGCAGATGTTTGCCAGTGACTTTTGATTTGGTTATATATATATATATAACAGGGAATTATTTTGTACACAATAAGTAGATTCAACTGAAAAATACTCTAGGCCTGTGACGAGGAGTTTACAAACTATATATTCTTGACATGTGGGGAAAATTGCAGTGATAGTGGTAGTAGTGGTATTAATAATAATGATGATTAAGCCCCCATTGTGAGGAAAGCCTCACGTTAGGTGCTTTGAATGCACCATCTCTAATTTTAATTCAAACGATGGTCTGTTAGGCAGTTATCTTTTTCTCCCTGTTTTGCCGTGGAGGGTCTGACACACAACGCTTGAATAAACACTAAGCTCGTGGCTAGAGCAGTAATTGGAGTAGAGTCAACCCAAGTCTTTGAGACTTTAAAGGTTTATCCTTTTTTAATTCCATGAGTTCATATATGCACAGCATTTAGAGCAATACCTATATAATTAGCCTTTATGTAGAAGCACTGCATACATATTAATTATGATTTCCCCATGGTCACTTATTTGGTGATGGTATTTCTTTTTCTTTCCAGCAGGTGGTAGTGGCTTTTTTTTTTTTTTGTTTTTGTTGCTTGAGGAGATCAAGGATCTCCTAGAAATGCTGCTCTGAATTAGGTCTATCATCATGTACAAGAGATTGAAGGCAAGATATGTATAAAAGAAACAAGCAGGTCTTTATTGCCCGCTCTTCACTGCTCCATTCTCTCCTACACATGCCTGCTATTTCTTAGCTAAATATTTCAGTTCTGTAGGAAAACTAGTTCCCTGGGAAGATGGCTAATTTTATCCTGATAAACTCATTTACCATTTTGTAACATAGATTTCCATTTTATGTCCGTAATCCTAAAACTACAGGGATATCAGACATTTTAAAGCTAGAGCTGATTTTAGATTGCCTTTTGCTCAAAATCTTTAACAACGTGAAATCATTTGTATGGGCTTAAAATGAGCTTTTAGTTTTAATTTGAGTGGAATGAAATCATCCTCTATTTATCTTAGAATAATATCAGAATTTAGTGTGAGTTTCCCATTTGCAGACTCACATTTCCTAATGTAGGTCTCTCTCCTTCTCTCTGTCTCCCTCTCTCTGTGGCTCTTGTGCACCAGGGTACCTGCTGTGGGCCTCAGATTGCTTAGCTCAGTCTAAGAGGCGTTCACTGTCATGTGCCACCTACTGGCTTTGAAGCAGTATTACTGACCAGAGGGTCAGCAGCTGGATGAAATGCCTTCCTACTCACCTGCTGTATGAAATCGGAACTTGAAGATCAATTTGAGTCATCACGGTTGCTCGCATAATGCATGGGACTCTAACTGTTGTTGTTGTTGGGGGCGGGGGGCGGTGACTGGACTTTCCTCTTGGGCCCTCTGCTCTGGAAATAATCCTATGTGAGTGGTTTACTCTTACCCAAGCTAGGGCTCATACCAATTTAACTGTAGAATTTGAGACCAGCCATGTAGGTCTCTGGGTTGGGTGCCTTATAAATTTCCCCTTTCCTTCCATAAGTGGATCCATTCCGATAGCAGCCATCATTGCACCTCGTACAGATTGATCTAGCTTTCCCTGTGATGTCCCTCTGAACACGCCATTGGATTTGCCTTAGCGTATCATGGTCTTTCGAGCTGCACTATACGGAGTGGAAAGAACGTTTCTTCTCCCCATTATGCAGATGTTTGCCAGTGACTTTTGATTTGGTGGTGGGAGTGTGAAGGAGGAGATTCATGTAAATGCGTGGCAGGGATGGGGCACTTGGATTGAACATGTACCTCCTGACTGCAGCCCTACCTTACACTCTATTTAGACCTCTGGGGCCATCCATCTTGAAAATCCACTGTTGTGCCAGGATAGTAATGAATGTTTAAGTGTCTCTCATGTTGTCATTGTATATCAAGCTATTTGCTTATGCCTAGTCATAAAGACTAAGCTGGTTAGCAATAAAATATGGTTATCGTAGATGGTGCCTCTTTAAAAAAAAAATAACCCAACAGCACAATGTATTTCCATGCACACCCACATTCCCCAAGTAGGAAAAAGTATCAGTGTGAAGGTTTGAATAACTGTAACACTCACTGAAATAATTACGTTTACATTATATTCTGAGCTATCTGTAAAACAACAAAAGGTTCTTTTGTCCTCACAGTCCCTGTATCTTAGGACAGATTATAGGATATATAGACTTGCAATGCTCTCACTGGCTTTATTTAAAGGAGTTAGATTTTGCTTAATAAGTTAGAAGTACTCATTAAAAAATTTTAAAAAAGAATGGTTTTATTGTGAATGAAATAAGTCTGTCATCTTAACTGTACCCTTCATTGAAACTTTTTTTGGCTTGTTTTTAGGCTTTCGCTGTAGGGCACATGCACTCGCTAGAGACAGAGAAAGAAAGTGAGAAATCACCCCTCAGAGGAAATGGTCATGCTGCAATTTCTTCTCCTCCATTCTCCGCTAGGGATTTGGGGCACACATGTACCTCGTGTGATTTTTCAAGCTGCCAGGTCCGGGACTCAAACCATGGTCAGCCATGTGGAAGTCCAGTATTGTAACTACTATGCCACCTGCTGGCCTCCCTTTATTGAACCTTTTATACCTCTCTGTACACTCTGCTATGTGAAGCCCCACTCTGCTCTCTCCCAGTCTTCCCTACTCCTGCTGACAAGGTGTTAGTCTCATCCTAGAGAGTTATCTCCGTTTGTGCCCCACTCCTAGGTCTCTGTGCAGGTGTGTACCTGACCCTCACATCCTGCCAGTGTTCATGATCAGCTCCATTTTCTCTCTAGTCTCCATGTCTAATTGATCTCCAAATATGTTGTGTTGTTTTTGTTGTTGCTGTTACTAAAATTCTACTTACTTTCTGTGTTGTTGGTGAATCAAGGACTAGCTACCATTAACATTTAGATGTCTTGTGCCTTCTACAACACAAAGCACTGTTAGCATTGCCTTATCAATGATCAGATGGTAAACTAAGTTCCAGCAGGATGTCCACATCTAGGTTGTTCAAGTGATCGGAAACTCTTACTTGTTTGGTTTAGCTTTTTTTAAGAGAAATTTTTGTTATAGGGCACATGTACTTGCTGGAGAAACAGAGAGGTAGAGAGACAGTAAGAAATCACCCCCAAGGGGGGATGGCCATGCCCCACTCCCTTCTCCTCTTAGGATCTTGGACACACGTGCTCACGTGCCTGGTGTGAGTTTTAAACTGCTGGGTCTGGGACTTGAACCACAGTTGACTACATGGGAGTCCAGTGACTAACCATTATGCTATCTGCTGGCCCCTGCTTTAGCTTTTAATTCTTTGTTATATCTCCAAATGCAAAAGAGCTGAGAGGCCCCTGTAATCCCCAAAAAAGAAATGAACAGCAAGCGGTCTCTAATATTTTAGAATAGTGACAGGTGAGTGTCTTGACCACATAACTCTGTAGCCATCAGAACAGTGGACTTTCCCCTGCTGGGTTTTCTTACAGATCTGCTAGCCATGTCAGCTGTCTAGCACACCAACCCCTAGTTCATAATTGGAGCCCAGAAAACTCTACCCTGGGTTCTGTCGGATGGTTGTATGACAGACCAGCCCCTGCAGCAGCAGCTACGCCCTGTCCAGGACGCAGCGGTGGGTGGCTAGCTCTGTGGTTTCTCTCGTACAGATCTCATTACTACTCCCTTCCCCTCTCTGTCCAGCTGCTATCCCTGATCCAGGCTCTCCCTGCTGCTCTCAGACAAGGAGAGCATTTGCTCTGTTAACGGGTGTCTGTGCCCCAGCCGTGTCCCTTCCAGTTTATTTTGTATAATGTGGCTAAAATAATCCTCCCAAAATAAGCATCTATTCCTGTCACTTCCCTTCCTGCTGCCGTCCTGCTGAGGATACAGTCGAAAGCTCTTGCAGAGGCGTTCCAGGTGTGGCCACCTCTCCCAGCCCCTTCCTCATGTGTCTGTCCTCCACACAAGGGCAGGCCCCCACACTCAGCCAGGCTCCAGATTTTAGACTCACACAGTACCCTTGCTGCCCACTGTGTCTTCCTGGCAGCGCTGCCTAGTGCTTCACACCCCAGCAAAGTGGAGAGGTCTCCCCTCTTTCCCCATCTCACACCAAGTGATCCATGGTCTGCGCTCTTAGCCAGGCCTCTGTGGTGTCCGTGTCGTCCCTCCCCTTTCTGTACCCTCGAGTAGTTGCCTAGCAAATCTCATTGGTTCCAAGGGAAATTAAAGGAGGAGAGGAGTACATCCGTGCAGGGCAAATCCATCCCGTCCTTTGGACAAGTCAAATTGAGCATATTCCACACTGATGCTATAAACATGTCACACTTCAGCAAGGATGAGCACCGTGTTCCTGCACGCACCAGCCCACACGCCCTGCTGTGCATGACCTGGAAGGCTCTCTGCCGCCTGGGGGTGGCAGAAGTACCATCTGGTCATGCGAGTTTTGTGACAAGAGCAATGATCATCTATGCTGAGAACTTTGGGACCTCCGGCCTCTGAGTTCCCCGTCCACCCACCTGCTTCTCCGTGTTTGTCTTCCAGGTGAGACGATGCGGATCGCCTCCTCTGAGTTTGCTGATGACCCGTGCTCGTCGGTGAAGCGTGGCACCATGGTGCGGGCGGCCAGGGCTTTGCTCTCAGCCGTCACGCGCTTGCTCATTTTGGCGGACATGGCGGATGTCATGAGACTGTTATCTCACCTGAAAATTGTACGTATGTAGAAACTACTAGAACTTTGTTTTGTGTCGGTGTTAATGTTGACCGTGTATCTTACAGCTCTGCCCTCTACTGGAGACGCTTTACACTTTACCAGATCGTCAGTTACTGGTCCATGTGGGACACCACCCAGATTTTTCTAATACTACAATTATATGTCATACTATGCATATTTTAAAAGTTACATAAGCCTCATTAGAATTGTTTTTCTTCCCTCAAACACAGAGTTGGGATCCCTCCTTACTTGCTCGGGTACATGCAATGCGTTCTTTTGGGCCATGGAGGCTGGGCTTGGTGCATTTGCCTTTGCCGGGCCTTCACGTTCAAAGCACATAGTATACATGCTAACTCAGGGTGTGTGCCTCACTGGCAAGACAGAGAGAGGCAGAGACATAGAAGGTGAGAACTGACCCCCCAGGGGAGAAGGCCACGCCACAATCCCTTCTCCTCCATTCTCCTCTTGGGATCTTGGACATGCACGAACATGCACCCAGCATGAATTTAAGCCACCAGGTCTAGGATTTGAACCATGGTGTTCTACATGGGAGTCCAGCGACATAGCCATTATGCCACCTGCTGGTCCCAGTGAAGGCCAGTTCTTATGCGTAGTTATCCAGACTACCACCCAAGCCCACCTTAGGATGGCTCGCTGGTTGCCCGTACTGTATTACCTGCTCCTACCTCTATCTTCTGCAGATGTACAGACTTGGAGCCTATCTTAGTCTGGCAATGAAGAGGTACCCGGCAAACCATGGAACTCCACTCTAGTACCTGGCTTATCATGCTTTCTTTTAACTCTTGTTTCCTAATGCATTGGAGCCCTGTCCTGGTCACAGATTTTTACTGGAACAGGGATCAAGGGAACCTCTGTAGCCCTTGACAGCTAGTGGCTAATGATATCTAGTCAAAACAAGGATGGTTCAACCGTTTCAATGAAGTTGATGTAACTTAATTGTTAGAATATGGCCTCTGTGCAGGAGTCCTTATTCCATGCCCTTGGCAGAAGATGGTTCCTGGACAATTGTCCTCATCCCCAGACTGATCTCAGGGTCCTCAGATGGTGGGATATGAACCAGGTGCTTCCTATTTGGGAAACCAACCATTTGCCGGCTTAGCTCCCCCAGCCTGGGCATGCCTGACTTGGCATGCTCCCAACAGCCAACCCTCAAGGTCTTCTTTTGTCAGTGAAATGACACCAGTGATGACGAGGGAGAAAGTGAGTCAGAAGGTGAGTAAAGAGAGCTTGTTCTCATCTCTCCTTGTAGCACAGACATTTTTTTAGTAGCCAAGAGCATCAAGACATTTCCTAAATTTTAATTCTCTGTCAAAAAATCTTGGCCAGGTCCTTTGGTCCAAGCTGGTTTCAATAAATGAGCCAAGACTTCGGAGTTATGTTTATACCCAACTGCCATCCTCTGAAAGGCCTCCATTTCCAACATCTCCAGCCTGAGCTCCTTGGCTGTAAATCATAAAGCAAGCTCTTTATAATTTATATACAGGTCCCTGAGGATCCAAGGGAGAACCTCGGACGGGCGTTTGTTCTTAGCCCCTTTTCAGAGAATGGGCCCTCAGATGCCAGGAGAGTCTGTGGATCTGGTGAGCACTTGGAGGAGAGGTTTGAGTGACCCAGAGGGTGTAGCAGTGCAAGCAGCCGTTTGCCACTGGAGTCAGACTAACGGTTTCATCTCGGCTCAGTGTGCAGTTGCTGGCTGTGTCGTAACTATCAGTAACCTCCTTCTGTCTGACACCTCAGCTATGAAAATGGGACTGGGCAACACAGCCTTCAGGGCTGTGGTGAGGCTCACAAGGGGGAAACCTAGGAAGTACCTTATCAAAGAGCATGGCACTGGAGTGGGTGCTGTCAGTGCAGCTCAGTGGTTATTGTACGCTCACTGGACCTGCTTACAGGCTGCCGGCTGTCTCACTCCTCCAGCCCCAGCTCTGTTTCAGGCATCGTAAGGCCACGGATAACTTCAGTTCTCAAGTATGTGAAAGGGAAGGTTTGCTATCTTCCCCTCACAGACTGTTTAGTCTTCAAAGGCACCATTTTAGGAAAAGTCTTTCCCCCAGTGGACAACCTTCTTTTACCCCAGGATGGGAAGAGTAGGACAGAACCTAAAGAAGTTCATTTTACACCCTCCACGTCACCGTTCTGAGTGATCCCCTGGCTGGCGACTGTTGGGCAGTGATGGCCGACTAACTTCCCCACCTGGGAGGGTGCTTGTGCAGGAGCCGGTCATGCCCGGCATGCATCAATGGTGGCCTGAGGTCCTGCTTCTCTGCCTGGCTGTTTGACCAGTGCTGTCGGCTGAGCCTGTCATAATGTGGAGTCAACGGTGTTCTATTCTTCACAAGCAGATTAAGGGGAGTTTAGAAATAAATAAATAAACGAAAAGCAAAAGGATACAGCACAAAATCATGGAAAGGTCAACCTGGCAATATTAAGTAGTCCTGTCAGGCTGTCAGTAGTAAAATTAAAAACGATTGTAGACTAAATAACACATTTGTTCTACTTAGAGTGCGGCCTCTGTTGGGAGCAGCAGTGGTAGCATGGTGCCCTCTTGTGGATAACTTGAGGAACTGCGACCTCTCCACCGCTGAACTACTCAGGCCGCAGCCTGTGTCACACTTTGGATTCGAGATCAGTCAGGGTTTCATTTCGTGGGGTTATTGCTTCATGCTCTAAAACAGTAGGCCGGTAATTCATTACAAATAAATGCAGCATATAATTCTACTTAGTAGTCTGTTAGTTCTCTTCCATGGAAGTGCATCCGTTTGTAGATCATAAAGTGTTATCTGTAAGCAGAAAGAGAGAAAGCGAGAAAGCAAGAAAAAGCAAGAAAGCAAGCCGCCAGGTCTGGGACTCGAAGTGTTGTCAGCCATGCGGAAGTCCAGAGCCTTAACCCCCACAACACCTGCTGGCCCCTTTGTTTCCTTTTTTTAAACTGAAGATGAAGAACATATCAAATATCTTCGCATATTCTGATGGAGCAATTTATAAACTATCATCCCTACCGTCCCCAGGGTCTTTTATAGGTCTTTTACAGTAAACAGTGAATTGCTTTACCGTACAGATGATGAGACAGAGATGAGGAAAGGAGTGACGAATGCTTTCTAATAACAATGAAATAAAGCCTCCTGTTGAAGTAGCAACTCGATTTCCTGTTGTTCAGATGGAGTGAGGCCTGCAGCTACCTGCTGGTAACTGCTATGCTACTATCCTACCCTTAAGCAGCTCTGCATGAAGTTGTGCTTTGTATCTATTAGACTATATGCCGAATGTTCGCTGGTGTTCTTTCCAGATAATGACTTTTCTCATCTCTGAGTAACTGACGGAAATTAGCTTATCAGAAACTTCTATTTGTGTTTTTCCTTCAGTAGTTCACCAAGGAGATGAAAGGTAGTCTATTTATTTTCCTAGGAAATACCCACTCTCACCCTCTGTCCCACACTCTAAGATATAATTGTTGGCAAAGTAGATAATCATGAGCAAATGTCACTCAGCCTCTAAAAATGAAAGATTAGGAGCTGTGCAGAGCTGTGGTTTGACAGTGCATACAGGTCTGTGCCTCCTGCTACCTTATCAGATTTGGAAACCTGTTGGTGTGGCTGTTGAGGAGTCCTTATATAATTTACAGACGTTTGACTCATCCACTTATGCTACCTGCTGTATTGTGCAAGTGTTTCTGTGTGCTTTAATATTGAGTTCTTCTTTGAGTATGTTATATGAAAGGTGTACATGCTCACCCAAGGTGTTTGCAAATTTAGGACCATTTCAGACAGAACAGTAGACAACATACAGTGGCAAAGCTCAGGTAACACGCACCTGGGGACTTAATGCCTTGAGCAAAGCTAAAGAGATCATTCCTACATCAGACATCGTTAACAATTACCAAATGATGGTCCAGCTGGCGGGATGGTGGTGAAGACCCACATGGTCAACTGTGTAGTTCAGGGCTTGGACCAGGACTTGAAAAACACGTCAGGCATGTTTGTGTGTGTGTGTACCCAAAATCTCAAAAGGAGAAATGGAGACTGCAGAGTGACCATTCCCTATGGGGTGCTTTTTCTTTCCCTTTTTTTCTCTCTTTCATTTTTCTTCCAGTAAAATTTAAAAAAAAAAAAACTATTCAATTAGGGGCCCCCAGGTGGCATGGTGGTTAAGGCACTGGACTCCCACATGGCAAACCACGGTTCGAGTTGTGAACCTGGTGACTTTCTTTCTCATTCTCCCCCCCGTCCCCCATCTCTCTCTGGTCAAATTTAAGAATAATAATAAATAAATAGGGACCAGCAGTTAGCGTAATGGCTACGTTGCTGAACTCCCATGTAGTCGACTGCAGTTCGATTCTTGCACCGGGTGGTTTAAACTCATACTGGGCACGTGTGCGTATGTGCCCAAGATCCCGAAAGGAGAATGGAAGAGAAGGGACTGCGGTGTGGCCATCCCCCCTGGGGGGGGGGGTGATTTCTCACTTTCTGGCTCTTTGTCTCTCTGGTGAGCATGGGCCCTGTAGCAAAAACCTCTCTAAAAAAAAATAATAATAAATGAATAAAGTTAAATAATTCTTTAAAAAGTATTGAATTATAATCACTTCTTCCCCAGTCAGACACCTGGTATACCCTGCAATCAGTTGACATTGTGCGTTAGGTTGATAACGTGTCGCTTCAGAGCTTTAAAGGAAGGCTGCCTTTCAATCAGTGATCATGAAGCATGATATTTATTTTCTCTAGACTCTGAATTAATGTAATCAGATCATATTGTCAGTTATTAGCATGGGCCATAGCATCACACATAAATTCTTGTAGACACGTGCATGTCAGAGAAAACCGTCACCTTCTTTCTCTAGCCTTAGGCAGAATCTTGGCATAAGGATATTCTATACTGCCTGAAAACATCTCTCTAGAAAATAGTGTAGTAAAGAGAAAACAGTGACCCCTTAGTCAGCCTCTCCAAGAAACCAGGTTTTCTTAATGGCTATCAGAGGCAGAT